TCCCTAAACTGGGCTAAGACTGACCAAGAATCAGACTCTGTGGGCCTTCACAGAAAGATCTTAGTTTGGCTGGTGGCAGTTAACGTAACAGAACTCATAAAAAAGAAACCAAATTGCTTCTTTAAGAAAAAGAATGGAACTCCCATACATTCAGCCTATCATCACTCAGATCCTTTCTCATGTGCCTGTCTCTATCATATTCCCCACTCTTCATCAGGCTTTTATCTTTTCATTTACATTACTAGGCAGGGACTGCCTTTTTATATCTCCATACACCACCTTGCAAAACAAAACTGAGCCTTGGCCCCAGCCGGGAACTGTAACCACTGCTGAAATAGAAGTAATGACCTTAACTTTAGTGCATAGGTCCCTTACCAACATGCCTATACAAGCCCAAACGGGACAACTTAGCTGGGAGAGGGAACGGTTAACCTGGCATAGCCTTTATGCCGAGGCTGGCGAAAGCAAACTAAGCCACAGCCGTTGCAGGAGTGGCTTATACGCCTGGTAGGAAACATGCTGAGACTCACCAACTCATTGTCAGAAACCATGAACCACAGCAGCAGAAGTTTTCTACGCTTGGCTGCATTCAGACCTGCACTTCGGATGCAAAAGCTTCCGTGTGCTGTGGCCAGCCCCCAAAAACATTTCATACACAGCCCCCTTTCTTCCAGCTGAGACGTTAAAGCAAATGCCTTACCCAACATTGACAATAAATCTGACTTCGGGGTACTCGCATTCTTCTCAGACCTTGGTGAAGGCTCAGAAAAACGTGAGGAGACCGCCAGACCAAAGTAGGCTCCAAACAGGTGAACATGCATCATGCTGATATTGTCTGGAACCTATATCAATAGAATAATCAAATTCGTGGTTTACTTCAGGCCACAGGAAGCCTTTGATGCAGTTCCTGATATAGTTGCTCACGTAACCTCCCTATAAGCAATTTATTTTCACAGTCCCTCCGTTTATGCATGAGTTATTTATGCGAGATTAACTTATCTCAATTCAGTGCAGCTCATAAGCACACAATTCTTACATAGAGAATTTGGGGGACGTTTACATTGTACGTTAAATGCAGGTCTGACTCCGCTGTCCAGCCTGGGCTGGTATACCATTCACACTGGAAATCTTCCAGACTGAACTGACACAGGGAGGGGATAAACTTTAAAGGCAGTTAGTGCCTTAGCATAGGTCAAGGCTTTTGTTCACGTGTTGGGGGTGGTCAGGGCACAGGCAAAGCCAAATGCACTACATCCCAATCCATCAGATCAGCTCATCGCACTACATCCCAATCCATCAGATCAGCTCACCCTTTAAGGCCAAGAATATAGATATAGCCAATTATATAGATATAGAGTACGCAGGGTTTGGAGTTCGATGTCCTTAAGTATAGCCCCAAAGTCAGACTTCATCTCTTAATGAAAACATAGCCGCGATCTAACCGAGATGAGATAAAACACACTGATGTTCCTGTCAGCAGAGCACTAACAAACCACCAAAAGGCAACATTCCAAAGTCCCAGTGAAATTTTCCCCCATGTGCCTGGAAATCATACTACAGTACCTGCAGGAATGTCTTGTTGATCCATCTGTTCATACAGAAAACTATTATCTCCACAACTGTCATCAGAATTAATTGCACAGGATTAGTCTTCCCAAGAACAGCTCCAGTGGAGATGACCACAGCAGTCGTACTCACAGTAGCCTTTGTTATTCTGCCATAAAAGAAAGAAAAAAATAATTCTGTATCAGGACCACGCCAGGGCCAATAAAGAAAGAATGACAGACAGTAAAATGTACTTAAAAACCCAAAGCCTTCTAAAATGTCTGCAAATATGACCATGCTAATTCACAAATAGGTCCATATAACAAGGCATTATCTTCCACAAAGAGCAATCAGCAGTTCTAGATTATTCCAACTCTAACACGAACTAATTACCTTTTCAGACCACCTTCATCTTGCCTTTGAAGAAGGAAAAGTAATAAACCTTCTGTCAGCACAGAGCACTGGACACCAAGTACGATGATCAGGAGGTTGAATCCAGTGCTGCTAAACCCGTATCTTTTCAGAAATGTCAGGAAAAAGCCAAATCCAAAAATCACCATGTGACTGACGTCTTGAAAAGCTGCATGACAGAAAAGACCAAGACAGCAGTGAAGTTATTAATGCAGACTGGATTTCTGGTTAAAAAAGTAAATAAAAATCACAATTAACTAAGAAGCCTTCAGATAAAAATTCAGGTGCCATTATTATTTAGTACTCGTAAAGAACTCCAGAGCTTGCTTTCCAACCCATAAGTAATCAGAAAAACAATACCCTTGACCCTGAATTTATTTTTACAAAGTGATCACAATGGATGCCATAGGATGGGGGTTGAGGGGTCAAAGAGCACGACAGAAATGAAGTACATTTAGCAATGAAATTTGGACATTCATTTTTCCTGAGGTGAATTTAAAGAGACTTTTCAAGGAGAGTCGCTGGGAATTAGTGCCGATTCATTCCTTGAGGGCATTAGGGAAGAAATGAGTTACAAAAAGAAACCTGTACGATGGCCTCATCTGGGTAGAAGGAACAGAAATAGCAGTAGAAAGAGTTTAATATGGAAACCAGCACCATTGCTGCTGCACCATCGAGCTACAAAACAGGGAGGGTAACGCAAGAATGTCGTGAGGATTAATCAACTCATATTTGCACAACACTGTAGATAACGTTACACACTATGGCCGTAGCATAATCTGCTAATACATTCCTTTGATCAATGCACAACATACATCTCCAGAATATATTGGACCCGTAATTCCACTGTATTAACTTCATTTATTTACATCAAGCATTCAAAAGGGAAATACTGCCATCCTGGATTCCTACTTTGTCACGCAGCAGCGCCTTCGCCTGCCAAGACCTCGCAGAGGTAGGCACTCAACACAGAGCAGCGCTTGCCCTCAGAAGTTTGTTACGTTCACAGGAGTCAAGATTACCACAAACAGACCAGCAATGCAATTTAGCATCACTTATGTCTTCGTTCACTGTCATTGCTTTGATATAAATAAATACACACCATACACGGCAAGGTAGGGTACTTAAAGGGCAGGAAAAACATTCTACTTCTCGCTAACAAATACACAGACCTGCTGAATCCCACCCCTATTGCACCGCAAAATAAAAGCAGGCATTAACCCTTCCTTTCACAGCAAGGCTACCGGTCTTACCTGGGTAGGAGATGCTTGATCTGGAGGCACCATCATCTGAGAACAAAAAGTAAAAGAGGACGATGAAAACAGCTTCCAGAAAAAAGATTAGCCACGGCACGTTGTTTCGGAAGTTGCGGTAATTCGAAGGCATTGTGCACTACACTACATCAAGCACAAACACATTAATTTTTTTTTCTATAAAACTGTTCCAGTAACCTCAAACCGATAGAAAAGGAGGTGTGGGGGGGCAGGAATAAAAACTCGGAGAGATAAAAAGCCCAAGAGGCGTCAGCAAAGAACAGTTCCTTATCTGTGACACGTCAGGAGCCCAAACTTACCAGCCCAAACTTACACAACTGACATGGACTGAACTAAAAAGGACTCACGAGCACAGACATATCAAGCTGTCAATACTGTAATGCCCCAGGATACCATCCATGCAGTACTTCAGCTGCTGTTGAGCCTTACGTATCGGCTAAACGGCAAGTAAAGAAGACCATGGACTCATAGGAGTAGGATGTTGAAGTTTATGCAAACCCATTATTTATTTACATTGCCCGTACCCATCCTAGACCCAAGTCCCTTCACACAAAGGTCGGGGAAGGTCCTGTTGAGATTCTCAGTGTGATTCTCGGCTTGGTTAGGCTATAGCTCTACACCCGTGTCCCACGACAAAACCTCCTCATACACGATGAATCCAACCCAACGCCAGAGAATCAAGAATCTCTGGACATGTAAAGGAGATGTAGCATTTCCTACGCTACTTGTAAGGTGGGTCTATTGCTTACAGTATGGCTATGTGTCGTGGTTTAACCCCAGCTGGCAACTAAACCCCACCCAGCCGCTCGCTCACTTACCCCCCGGTGGGATGGGGGAGAGAATCGGAAGGGTAAAAGTGAGAAAATTCGTGGGTTGAGATAAAGACAGTTTAACAGGTAAAGCAAAACAAGGAATTCACTCACTGCTTCCCATGGGCAGGCAGGTGTTCAGCCATCCCCAGGAAAGCAGGGCTCCATCACGCGTCACGGTGGCTTGGGAAGACAAACGCCATCACTCCGAATGTCCTCCCCTTCCTCCTTCTTCCCCCAGCTTTATGTGCTGAGCGTGACATCATATCTGTGGAATACCCCTTTGGTCAGCTGGGGCCAGCTGTCCCAGCCGTGCCCCCTCCCAACTTCTTGTGCCCCCCCAGCCTGCTCGCTGGTGGGGGGGGGTGACGCGCAGAAAA